TCTAGGTGTCAGTATAACAAATAGCTTATGCATAGGATAACAGTCCACAATAAATAAAAGAGCTCAGAGGTGACTTCAATATTCCCAAAATCCTCACTTTCTTAGAATCAGTGAGAGGCAGGATATGTATAAAATGCGCACTCACCGGACGCGCAAAGATAATGCAGGTTATCTTTGCGCGTCCGGTGAGTGCCCATTTTATATATATATCCTGCCTCTCACCAATTCTAAGAAAGTGAGGACTTTGGGAATATTGTAGTCACCTCTGAGCTCTTTTATTTATTGTGGACTGTCATCCTGTGCATGAGCTATTTGTTATACATTCATCAGGACTACATTTTAAGTGCTGCACCTATTTAATCTTATATGTCTTTTGAAAGGTTTATGGCAGGGGCGGACTGACCATTTGGAAACTTGGGCAACTTGGAAACGAGGGCCCAGGGTCAGTAGGGGGCCCCATGAGATGCCCCTGGTACCTTTTTCATATGCTTTTTTGAGTTTGGACAAGGACACAGGGGCCCCATGATCCCCTATTGCCCGGGGGCCCCATGAGCTTTTGGATGGGGGGTGCAGGGATGAGTTCTGGATGGGGATGCTAAGGTGAGTTTTGGTTGGGGGTACAGAGATGAATTTTGGATCAGGGTGCAGAGGTGAGTTTTGGATGGCAGTGCAAAGGTGTTTTGAATGGGGATGCAGAGGTGAGGGATGGGGTGTGAGGTGAGTTTTGGTTGAGGGCACAGAGGTGAGATTTGGTTGAGGGTAAAAAGGTGAGTTTTGGATGGGGGATGCTAGTGAGTATTGCATGGGGGGTGCAGAAGTGAGGTTTGGATGAATGGTGCAAAGGTGAATTTTGGATGATGGGTGCAGAGGTGAGTTATGGTTAGGGGTATAGAGGTGAGTTTTTGATAGGGTGGTTGCAGGAGTGAGTTTTGGATAGGGATGCTGAGGTGAGTTGTGGTTGGGAGTACAGAGGTGAGTTTTGGATGGGGGTGCAGAGTTCAGTTTTGGTTGGGGGTACAGAGGTGAGTTTTGGATGGGGGTGCAGAGGTGAGTTTTGCGTGGGGGGTGCAGAAGTGAAGTTTGGATGAAGGGTGCAGAGGTGAGTTTTAGATGGGGCTGCAGAGGTGAGTTTTGGTTGAGTGTAAAGAGGTGAGTTTTGGATGGGGGATGCTGCGGTGAGTTTTGCATAAGGGGTGTAGAAGTGATGTTTGGATGAAGGGTGCAGAGGTGAGTTTTGGTTGGGGGTACAGTGGTGAGTTTTGGTTGGGGGTACAGTGGTGAGTTTTGGTTGAGGGTAAAGAGGTGAGTTTTGGTTGGGTTACAGAGGTGAGTTTTGGTTGGGGGTACAGAGGTGAGTTTTGGTTGGGGGTACAGTGGTGAGTTTTGGTTGAGGGTAAAGAGGTGAGTTTTGGTTGGGGTACAGAGGTGAGTTTTGGTTGGGGGTACAGAGGTGAGTTTTGGGTGGGGGTACAGAGGTGAGTTTTGGTTGGGGGTACAGAGGTGAGTTTTGGTTGGCGGTACAGAGGTGAGTTTTGGGTGGGGGTACAGAGGTGAGTTTTGGTTGGGGGTACAGAGGTGTGTTTTGGCTGAGGGTAAAGAGGTGAGTTTTGGATGGGGGATGCTGCCGTGAGTTTTGCATGGGGGTGCAGAAGTGAAGTTTGGATGAAGGGTGCAGAGGTGAGTTTTGGTTGGGGTACAGAGGTGAGATTTGGTTTGGATACAGAGGTGAGTTTTGGTTGGGGGTATAGAGGTGAGTTTTGGTTGAGGGTAAAGAGGTGAGTTTTGGGTGGGGGGTACAGAGGTGAGATTTGGTTGGAGGTACAGAGGTGAGTTTTGGTTGGGGGTACAGAGGTGAGTTTTGGGTGGGGGTACAGAGGTGAGATTTGGTTGGGGGTACAGAGGTGAGTTTTGGGTGGGGGTACAGAGGTGAGATTTGGTTGGGGGTACAGAGGTGAGTTTTGGATGGTGGTACAGAGGTGAGATTTGGTTGGGGGTACAGAGGTGAGTTTTGGTTGGGGGTACAGAGGTACGTTTTGGCTGGGGGTACAGAGGTGAGTTTTTGATGGGGGTGTATCACACCTAATTCTTCTCCCTTGGGTGCCATACATTTTTCATATTTCTAGTAACTTCAGTCTTCTTAGACTATGTGAGAATAGACCCCCCTCAAGGAAAACAATATCTAAACCCCTGAATGAGACAGAAAGTGGTGAGAAATCCAAAACTGTCCAGTTGTCAAGATGGAACAAATAAGTTTATGTGACAACTAAAATTAGATTTCCCCTCACTATAGATCCAATTCTTCTCACTTCCTGTTTCTGTAGCCAGAAGTGAAAGAAAATCATCTTAAGAGGACACCGCAAAAAAATCTAAAAGGGTTTTAATATTTCAGACCAAAATAAAAAACGTTGGAGTTTACACTGTGTCACTTTTACATGTTTACAAGCCAGCACCTCAGGGCAATGACATCGTGTTCCCCCTCCTAGGTCTCTAACCATTATTCAGGAAAGCGTCGTCCAGATATACAGTACAGACATTTCCATAGGCAGGCAGCCTTTCCCACACAGCTCAGTTCTGCCCTGACTCAGGCTGTGAGGAACAGGGTCACGTGAGCACACAGCAGCTGGCAGAGCAGTCCCTGACTAAGGTGTGTCCTGTTGCCTTGAGCCACGTGACGTCACGAATACCTGAGCCAGGCAGACAGGAAAGAGGAGAGAGCCAGGGAGTCTGCGGAGGAATCAGAACAGAGAGGGGCTCAGGGGAGGAAGAGGAAGAGAGCGCAGCGAGCCTTCCTAGCAGTGACTGTGTCTGCCCGGAGTGTGGTAATAGGCTGAGAGGGAGCTGAGCTCCGGTGGAGGTAAGTGTACATGTGTACGGGCAGTCCCTCATTTCCTGCTCTCCAATGTTCACTCCGAGCTCCTGGGTTTCCTGCTGCCATATTGTAGTTTCGGTGTAAGTTGGGATCGCCTGTGTAACCAGCGACCTGCCACTCTCATTGGACTATTACTGGGTATTTATATTCTTCTGTATTCCAGTCTCCCGATCATAGTGATCTGTGAATGGTGGAGCTGGCCGGGGTTGTTTGTTCAGGTGACTCTGTTTGTTTTGATTACATAGACATTGTTACAGTACAAGGAGTTGTCTTTGTATCCATTTCATGAAGTTCTAGTGTAAGGACATTTATTGGATATAGATGAGCCATGTAGGTGAGGGGAGATGTGTGGGGCCCCACAGTCCAAGGAAGGGGCCCATGGAAATGCTGTTTACACATGTTGTTTGTAGGATATTCTAATGATCATAGAAGACTTGGAAGTACTGGAAGGGTTGTTTCCATGTTGTATGGGCAATGTGCAGGAAATTCAATTCAAACCCAGCCTTCCAAATTCTTCAGTGTGGGCAATGGACATGAGATCCTTCATTCCGGTAGAACATCACTTTTAGTTAAAAAAAAACTAATCTGGGCAGCACAGTGGCTAAATGGTTAGCACTTCCGCCTGGCAGTACTAGGGTCATTGGTTCAAATCCCAACCACGGCACCACCAGCCTGGAGTTTGCATGTTCTCCTGTGCCTGTGTGGGTTTCCTCCAGGTACTCCGGTTTCCTCCCACATTCCAAAGCCATGCTGGTAGGCTAATTGGATCCTGTCTAAATTGTCCCTAGTATGTGTATGTATGAATATAAGTTAGGGACCTTAGATTGTACACCCCTTGAGGGTTAGGGACTGATGTGAATGTACAATATATATGTAAAGTGCTGCGTAAATTGGCGGCACTATATAAGTACCTGAAATAAATAAATAATAGTTTTTGTTTTATATTGTTAGTAGTAGTATTTTAAAGTAAATGTCCGCTTTTTCACCATGTAAAACAAAGCTTTCAGTTTAAAATGGAAGTAAAAGGCAAAGCATTTGTTGATATAAAAATGTATATAGACTTTTTTTTTTCCTTGTTTTTACAAGAGCTGGGTAGGAGAAACAGAAGCACACTAATCTTCCCAGTTAATGGTTGATGGAGGCATGTCAGGACAAGTCTGATCATTGGAAGAGAGCACACTGAATTCCCAGTATAGTGAGAGAATTGACCACGCTGTGCGCTCCTGCTTAGTGTGGTCAGTTTTTAATAGGCAAACCAAGGGACTGACAGGAACACCATGAGTTTCACACAAAGGAAGTAATGCAAAGTACATAGTACAGCAGGCACATATCAGGAATAGAAAATGTGTTGGATTTACATATTGTTTAACTCTACTCGCACACTGCTGCAAACCTGGTCCCACACCACTATCTTCCACTCTTACGTCTTCTGGCTGTCTCTTCCTCATACTTTCAGCTGGCCTCCTGATAGCAGTATTTTATATATATACACACACACACACACTCTCTCAAACGTTTCCATACCCTTGAAGAATAGGTAATACAGTATCTACCATTTTTAACCACTTCCTGTCCGGATACTTTTACCCCCTTCCTGTCCAGGCCAATTTTCAGCTGTCAGTGCTATCACACTTTGAATGACAATTGTGCGGTCATGGAACACTGTACCCATATGAATTTTTTAGCACTTTATTGAGACAGATAACGCTTTATTTTGGTGGTATTTATTCAGTGGGATTTTTATTTTTTTTGCTATGTAAATGAAAATGTCCACAAATTTTGAAAAAAAGTGTTTTTCTTACTATTTTCAAAATTTTATATTTCATCATACATCTTGGCCAAAATGTATTCAGTTATCTTTATATTAAAAAAACAAAAAATAACCCAAATTGGTGTATAACCAAAAATTATAATTTTTAAACTTTTTTTTTACATTTTTTTTTATATTAATGTTTTTTTTTTTATTTATTTTTTTACATACTGTCACCCTAGCAGTACAGTGTCACCATGGTGACACTGTACTACATGTGGGGGGTGATAAAGATTTTTTTTTTTTTACACTGATTGCTTTTACACCCATAAAGGCTGTAAAAACAATAATTTCTCCTTCTCTCTGGCTTTATTCTTGCAGCCATTGAGAACTACTGTGTGAGCTGTGATTGGCCACAGCTTGTCACATGGTACAAGGCTGTTGTGAATAGCCTTGTACCATGTGACCTCTGTGATCATTCACAGATAACACACGTAGTAAGCAATGATGTCAGAAGTGACATCTTGCTTACTACTCTGCATGTGAGCACTGATTGGCCAATCAGTGATCACATGATCGGGACCTCGCACAGAGGTCCCGTACGACATTCGGTGTTCCACTGTGTCCGGAGGACACAGCGGGCACTGGATTGGGATGCTGCGCGCTCCCAGGGAGTGTGCACAAGCAGGGGGCGAGGAGGCCATTTATAAAAGACCACCCAACCCTGCACTGCCAGCGTCCGGCCGTTTATATACACCAGCCGGACGGGAAGTGGTTACAGAAAACACGAGCCAGCTGCCAAAACGCATATCTCTTGTTCTTATGGGATTCATAGTCAACTGTAGGTCATAACAGAATGGCACAATCATAAAACAAGACATGGCAACAAGTAAACAAATGAAATGACCCCTATTCAAAAGTCTGCATACCCTTAGTTTCTAATACTGTGATTGCCCCCTTTAGCATCAATGACAGAATGGAGTATTTTTGTAATAGTTGACTGAGGCCCCGAATTCTTGCAGATGGTAAAGCTACTCATTCATCTTTGCAAAATGCCTCCAGGTCATGCAAAGTCTTTGGTTATCTTGCATGAACCACATGCTTGAGATCTCCCCAGAGTAGCTTGATGATATTAAGGTCAAGAGACTGTGATGGCCACTCTAGGACCTACACCTTTTTATGCTGTAGCCAATGGATGGTCAGCTTGGTCTTGTGCTTACAGTTATTGTCCTGCTGGAAAATTCAAGTGTTTCCCATACACAGCTTACATTCAGCAAAATTCCAATTGCCAGTATTTTCTGATAACGTGCTGTATTTACACTCACTGGCCTCTTTATTAGGTACACCTGTTCAATTGCTTGGTAACACAAATTTCTAATTAGCCAATCACATGGCAGCAACTCAATGCATTAAGGCAGGTAGACTTGGGGCTCGTTCACACTAGGCTGTTTTGCCAACGCTTGCCAAACGCCCCTATAGCGTTTGGCAAGCGTTGGTCTGGCGTTTGCAGAGCGTTATTAACGCTCGGCAAACGCTCCGCAAATGCCGCATGCACGGTTTAGCGGAGGTTGCTAGGCGTTTGCCGAGCGTTAATAACGCCCCACAAACGCCTATAATGCAGTTTGAGTGGTGTTACCGCTCCGCAAACACCCCGCAACCGCGTCGCAACCGCACCGCAAACGCCGGCCGGGCGTTTGCGGAGCGGCACCATAGACAAGAATAGGAGGCTTCAAAGCCTCCTGACTCGTCCAGAGGCGTCCGTTTTGACGCAACGCGACGCGACACAAACGCTCCCGTTAGAACAGCACCATGTGCTGTAATGTGCAGAATTGGCAGAGGCGTTTGGGAAGCGGTAAAAACGCTTACCAAACACCTCTCTGCCGCCTGCACACAAGGCTAGTGTGAACGTAGCCTAAATGAAGACGTTTTGCTGAAGTTCAAACGAGCATCAGAATGAATGTGGCATGGCTATTGGTACCCAATGGGCTGTATTTTAAAAACCGCTGATCTACTGGGATTTTCACACATGGCCATCTCTAGGGTTTATAGAAAATGGGCTGAAAAAGGAAAAAATATCCAGTGAGCAGCAGTTATGTGGACAAAAATGCCTTGTTGATGTCAGAGAATGGGCAGACTGGTTGCTGCGACATTCCGATGGTTGATACAGAATTTGGCGTAAACAACCTGATACAGGCAGGATGCATCCATGCTTTCAACTGTTCAGGCTGGTGGTGAATGGTGTGGGGGGTATTTTCTTGGCACTAGCAAGGCATACCTAATAAAGTGGCCGATGAATGTATCTTGTCACTATAGACCTTGTTGACCCTTCTCTAAACATAGCACTTTTGGTTGTGAACATAAAGCTTTATTTTGGTCCTGTCACTCTGGATTATGTGTGCAGAAGCTGTGAGGTGCGTCAAGGTGTTGTCAGGCATATTGTAACCAGGCTTTTTTGTGGCTTTGACATAGTAAAGGGTTCTTTCTGGTAACTTGGCCATGCAGCTCATTTTTGTTTTGTTCAAGTATCGTCTTATTGTGCTTCTTCTAAACCACCACATCATCCTTTTCCAGAGCAGCCTCTATTATTTCTGTGGGAATTTTCCACTCTTAATAGGTGATTGAACAGTACTGAATGGCATGTTCAAGGCTTTGGATATCTTTTTATATCCTTTTTCCATCTTGATATTTACCTAGTCATACAAGTCTATTGACACTTCTTTTCTGCTCCCCATGGCTCAGTATGCATCTCGGTGGATCCATGTGAGCGCTAACAAACTCATTGATTATTTCTACAGACACGAATTGCAATTTAAAAAGCCACAGATGTGGGAAATAAAGCTTTAATTGCTGTTTTAACGTGTATGTATCACCTTGTGTGTCTGTACCAAGGTCAAACATTCTGGAGTATGGACACGTTTAATCAGGGCCATTTGGGTGATTTCTGTTTTTGATTTACAAAGGAGCCAAACATGTAATAATGGCTTCATATGATCACTATAAAAAGTTTTTTGGCATGATCAGCCATGTTTTTGATTTTGTTGCAAGAACCAGGAAGAGACAGCTGGCATATATACTGATTAACTTTATGACCACTCGCCATAACCCTTCGAGGCATAGACTCCACTAGGCCTCTGAAGGTATGCTGTGGTATCTGGAACCAAGCCGTCAGTAGCTTTAAGTCCTATAGGTGTGTGAGGTGGTGCCTTTCCAGCACATGCCCACAGATTTGGAGAAATTGGAAACTAAGTCAACACCTGGAACTCGTTGTGTTCCTCAACCATTCTTGGATTCATCATACAAGGCCACCTTCTTTCATTGCTCTGTGGTCCAGTACCAATGCCTGTGTGTCCATTGGAGGTGCTTTTGGCTGTGGACATGGGGTCAATATGAGCACCCTGAATGGTCTGTAGCTATGCAGCCCAAAAGAAACTGTAATGCATTGTGTGCGGACACCTTTCTATTGGAACCACCATTATCGTTTTCAGCAGTTTGAGCTACAGTAGCATTGGATTACACTGGCCAGCCTTTGCTCCCGACAGGGACGAACTGACCATTTGGAAACTCGGGCACTGCCTGAGGGCCCGGGGTCAGTAAGGGGCCCCATGAGATGCCCCTGGTACCTTTTCCATAGGCTTTTTTTGAGTTTGGGCAAGGACATAGGGGCCCCATGATCCCCTATTGCCCGGGGGCCCCATGAGTTGTCAGTCCGCCCCTGGCTCCCGATATATGCATCGGTAAACCTTGAGCACCAGTTTTCCTTCTTTTAGGCAGCTTGTGGTAGGTCCTGACCAGTTCAGATTGAGAACATCCCATAAGAGCTGTAGTTTTGGAGATGCTCTGACCTAGGCATCAAGCTGTTACAATTTGATACTTGTCAGTCGCCCAAATTCTTATGCTTGCGCATTTTGTTTCTGCTTTCAACGGCTTCAGTGACAGCAAATTTACTTGCAGCCCAACATATCCTACTGACTTTCAGATGCCAATGTAACAAGATAATCATTATTCCCTTAACCTGTCATAATGTTATATCAATGAGGCGTAGAGTGCATGGCCTTTGGCTTATGTGTCCTGGAAATAAGTCAGGATGCAGGAATAAACTTTGGGAGTATTTCAGGCCAGGCTTCATTGGTGACAGAAAAGGCCTACAGTATGGCATTTACAACAATTTTCTTACAATTGGCACAGTGTATTCTAAACTACTGGGGCCCCCTTGTCTGCTGCATAGGCCAGTGTAAATTAAGGTGACTGTAGCCTTTATACTGGCTGAACCCCCATCAATTGAAAATAGTGTGGAACCCAAGATACAATGAATCCAGTGCTCAATGTAGTGCATAGGGACAAAGAAAGCTGTAGTTTATTCTTACCAAAGTTCTATAAAGAGAGAGATTCCTGTTGTCGCCTTGTAAAGATGATCCTATACCACACCCTGTGTTCACTGCACAGTTATATGCTGCCTTAAGTCTGACTGAACTGGAGTCGATATTATTCCAGGTTATATATACTACCCTGCCTTGTGTTTCCTCAATCCAATAGTTACCATATGATTTATATTCTCTTGTGGTATGTACTATCTAAAATATGTTACATTTTCAATACTGCCTAATGTATATTTAAGGCCAAGACATTTTCATTTTAGATAAAGTGAGGGCTGGTTAGGGGGAGTGAGAGAGAACCTCTCCAAAGTGAGGCAAATCCTCCATTGAAGGATTTTTCTGCTTTCTTTTCTGGTGACAACCCCTTTACTGCCCCTCATAAAAAAATTTCATGGTGGATTGCTTTTCAGTGGGTGGCAGAGCTGTGGTTGCTAGGCTTTTAGAAGGCAATGCTGGCACCTTCTGAAAGCTGTTTTTTGTAAATACTGGGCCACAAGCCAAACATTTGTGAGGCATCCATAGTAACATCAAGGTGGCAACTCCAGTGTAGTCCATAAAATCCAAATCTTTTCTGGCTACGTACTAAAACACACTGGTAACAAGCTAACACGTTTTAGCTGTGACAGCCTTCCTCATAGCACGGAGCTGAAATGCGGTAGCTTGTTACCAGTGTGTTTTAATGTGTAGCTGATAAAGATTTGGATTTTATGGACTACACCGATTTTCCGGCTTGATGTTACCATGGATCTGATCGTTTGAGTGCGGGAGCACCAGTCCTCACCCACTAGAAGCTGAACCTTTAGTTAAGCGTGGGTATTGATTATTTGCAAACGTTTATGAAGCAGCTCAATTAACTTGAATGGGTTGCATTTGGCAGCAGTACCGCCCTTCAAACTTTATACTGTAATTTCACCTTTTTCCCCGCTATCTATCATTCATGTTATAGCATCACAGAAAAAAATATTGCTTTTGCAAGAGAGGACTGCAGGATGGTAAACTGTGTTGGTTCCAAGAAAAAAATGAGGAAGTGTTGGTTATTGTAGTATTTATGAACCTCAGTCTCTTACCATGCTCATATGACTGATGAATTCAGACTGTTGAGTTAATTGCTCCAT